ACAAACGACGCAAACCAGTCAACTACCATGGATAACGAAGCAGCGTTGAGGAGACTAATCGACCAGGTCGAACAGATGCGGCAGCAACACGCCGCCGACCTACAAAACATGCGTGCCAAGCACGACACTGACCTAATGGCAATGCGTACCGCTAATGAAGCCGACCTGGCGGCGCTATGCGCCGAGAACGAGCGAATCCGCGCTCAACTACCTCGACACCACTCCGATCACCCTCCTCATACGAGCAACCATAATGAGGAGGAGGAGCACTCAGTCTCCCAATCCCGGACTGCAACTAGGGTTCCAACCCCCAGACCTGCTTCACATTGGTCCCATGCACCGACGCACAAGCTGACCCATGAAGTCAGCAAGGCTCCTACTCATGCCGCGGGGGATCAGGCAACCTTTCGCCGCCACCCTTTTGTGGATGGCATTATGGAGACACCACTCCCTCATGGGTGGAAGCCTCTCCACCTCGATCGCTACGATGGCACAACGGACCCGGACGAGCAACTGCCTGTCGAGTCCATCGACAGCTTCGGTACCCTAGTCCGGAGGTTCACCGCGCAATATGCGAGCTCCCAAACCTCACCATGTCACTTCAGCCGCCCTGGCCAGACTCAGGCAAAATGACGACGAACCGCTCCGGGCATTCATGGAACGGTTCGCTGCCACCTCAATCAAGATCAGGAACCTGAATCCCGAGGTAGCCCTACATGCCATGCTCATGGCACTCAAGCCCGGGCCATTCGTCGACAGCTTATGTCGTGAGTCTCCCCGCGACATGGACAAGCTCCGTGCCCGAGCTGCAGGTTACATCCAGATGGAGGAGCACTCCGCCTCTCGTGACCAGGTTCGCGGAAAAGGACTAGCGAAGCCAGAGTAGGGGCACAACGATAAGGTCAAAGTCAACGATGACAGCCAGTTCAAGAAGTCGGCTAGGGCAAACAGAGGGGGGAGGTATGACTTCTACACTCCCCTGAACGCACCCAGAGTCCACATTCTGGAAGAAGCCAACAACAACAACCTACTCGCCCTTCCACCACCAGGTCACACTCCCAACAGCGCCGACAAGTCCAAGCACTGTCGGTACCACAGGAACCACGGTCACACCACGGAGGAGTGTCGCACGCTCCGGAACCGTATCGAAGAGCTTGTCCAGGCAGGCCACCTCGGCCAATACATCCAGCGACAGCAAGGTCACCGAGGAGGCTATGGCGGTCGGGGGCGTGGCAGAGGCTGAGGTTCGGGAGCTCGCACTGACCAACCCTCTGGCTCCCAACAAAATGCCAGCGGCACAGTGGAGGCCGAGATAAGCCAGGAGACAGGGACAACCCCCTTACAGGGAGTGATTAACACAATCGCAGGTGGTTTCGCTGGGGGAGGCGCCAGCAACTCGACCCGAAAGAGGCACTTACGGAATGTCAACTGCATCCACTCTACCACCTCGACCTCGCACCAAAGCTCACCGCCGATCTCCTTCTCTGACG